TGTTTCTTTGTAATTGCTTGTGAAATTTACTAGCAATTTCTGAGTGAAAATTGGCTCTACACCATTTTTTTTTCAATTTGTGATTTAAAAAGCTGCAGATGTTTCACACTTTTACGAGCCCACAAACATACATACATACAGTACACCCCTCACATTTTTGTAAATATTTTATTATATCTTTTCATGTGACAACACTGAAGAAATGACACTTTGCTACAATGTAAAGTAGTGAGTGTACAGCTTGTATAACAATATAAATTTGCTGTCCCCTCAAAATAACTCAACACACAGCCGTTAATGTCTAAACCGCTGGCCACAAAAGAGAGTACACCCCTAAGTGAAAATGTCCAAATTGGGCCCAATTAGCCATTTTCTCTCCCCGGTGTCATGTGAATCATTAGTGTTACAAGGTCTCAGGTGTGAATGGGGAGTAGGTGTGTTAAATTTGGTGTTATCGCTCTCACGCTCTCATACTGCTCACTGGAAGTTCAACATGGCACCTCATGGCAAAGAACTCTCTGAGGATCTGAAAAAAAGAATGGTTAACGCATAAAGATGGCGTAGGCTATAAGAAGATTTGATTTTCACTTAGGGGTATACTCACTTTTGTGGCCAGCGGTTTAGACATTAATGGCTGTGTGTTGAGTTATTTTGAGGGGACAGCAAATTTATATTGTTATACAAGCTGTACACTCACTACTTTACATTGTAGCAAAGTGTCATTTCTTCAGTGTTGTCACATGAAAAGATATAATAAAATATTTACAAAAATGTGAGGGGTGTACTCACTTCTGTGAGATACTGTATATATACACAGTTTATTGCAAATACTTTTTGACCTGCAAGACATTTTGCTGTAGAGAACAACAACATTGTACGAAAACAATTCAACAAAAGCATCAGTGAACTATTAGAGAAAGTTTCTTAATATACATTTGAGTGATTCTGAGAATGTAACATTGATGACTCATGATAAAAATCAAATTGGCTCTAAACATTCATGTTCCAAATTATTCAACCCCTAAAAGTCAAATTTTGTGCAGAATCTTTTATTCTTTAAAACCACCAATAAACACAGCCTATAAGTGCTCAGAAGCTTCTGTCACCTCTCTACTGCAGTCTTGGCTCATTCCTTGCTAGAAAAAAGCTTTCAGATCACTGACAATCTTTGGTTTTCACATTGCCACTGCTTTCTTCAAATTCAACCAAATATTTTCAATGAGAATTAAATCTGGACATTGAATTAAATCTGTCCATTGATCATCAGCTTCCGTCTTTTCACCAAAGGCATCACAATTCCTGCCAAAATGGCCTGATACTTCAAAGAATCCATGATGTCCTTCATACAGTCATGATTTCCACTTCCTGCAACAGTAAAGTACCCCCATAGCAGGACTGGTCCACTTCTAAGTTTGACCATGGAGATGGTGTTCTCCTGTTATAAGCTCTGTCTTTTTTGCACCAGACATACCGCTGATCCATGGGTCCAAAAGTTCCAGTTTGGTCACATCACTCCATAAAACATTCTTCCAGAACTCCACAGGTCTACCCAAATGAATTTTAACATGTTAAAATCGGCCTTTTATGTTCTTCTTGGTCAAGAGTGGCATTCTGCAAGATCCCCCAACACCAAGGCCATACTTGTCTAGTGTTCATCTTATACTCTGCATTGAAATGTTTTTCCCCCTTTCATCGGGTCATCTTGCAAGGCTGTACATTGCAGGTTTTTCTCAGTTGCTCTGATCAAATTTACTATGATATTGTGCTTTTTCTTTAACACCCTCAAAGGTTTTCTGGTACAACACATTTTAAGCTTAGGAATAAGGCTGCCAGCTGTGTCTCTAGGAACTTTTAATGTTTTGGAAATCTTCATGCAGCCTTAGACTTTCTAATGTAATTAAATTAATTCTTCTATAGCTTTTGAGAGAGCTCTGTTGAATTTGCCATATTTGCTGCTCACATCAGCACATGCATGGGCTAAGTTTAGGTATGTGTAACAGCTCAAGCTAATTCTGTTTTTTTTTTCTTTTTCTCGAGTTTCTAAAGTCTTAATTGTGTTTTAAGACAATTTTGTTCCCCACCATACAAAAAAAACCAAATATTTTCAATGAGAATTAAATCTGGACATTGAATTAAATCTGTCCATTGATCATCAGCTTCCGTCTTTTCACCAAAGGCATCACAATTCCTGCCAAAATGGCCTGATACTTCAAAGAATCCATGATGTCCTTCATACAGTCATGATTTCCACTTCCTGCAACAGTAAAGTACCCCCATAGCAGGACTGGTCCACTTCTAAGTTTGACCATGGAGATGGTGTTCTCCTGTTATAAGCTCTGTCTTTTTTGCACCAGACATACCGCTGATCCATGGGTCCAAAAGTTCCAGTTTGGTCACATCACTCCATAAAACATTCTTCCAGAACTCCACAGGTCTACCCAAATGAATTTTAACATGTTAAAATCGGCCTTTTATGTTCTTCTTGGTCAAGAGTGGCATTCTGCAAGATCCCCCAACACCAAGGCCATACTTGTCTAGTGTTCATCTTATACTCTGCATTGAAATGTTTTTCCCCCTTTCATCGGGTCATCTTGCAAGGCTGTACATTGCAGGTTTTTCTCAGTTGCTCTGATCAAATTTACTATGATATTGTGCTTTTTCTTTAACACCCTCAAAGGTTTTCTGGTACAACACATTTTAAGCTTAGGAATAAGGCTGCCAGCTGTGTCTCTAGGAACTTTTAATGTTTTGGAAATCTTCATGCAGCCTTAGACTTTCTAATGTAATTAAATTAATTCTTCTATAGCTTTTGAGAGAGCTCTGTTGAATTTGCCATATTTGCTGCTCACATCAGCACATGCATGGGCTAAGTTTAGGTATGTGTAACAGCTCAAGCTAATTCTGTTTTTTGTTTTTTTCTCTCGAGTTTCTAAAGTCTTAATTGTGTTTTAAGACAATTTTGTTCCCCACCATACAAAAAAAAGTGTCTTAAAAGCAGCAATGTTGAATAGGGGTTGAATAATTATGACATAGCTGTGTTATTTAAAAACAATTACATTATATATTGACATTATAACTTTTAATATGCTAGTAAACTGTTATAAATGCAATTTTTATAAAATCGTGGATCTTCGGAAATGCTTGTATTTGTAAAGTTGTTTTGATTGCAACTATACACACATACACACACACACACACA